GGTGATCGGGGCAGCCACCACCACTTGCAGCCGCTGATGGCCCCAGCCTCGCTCACACATGCTGCTGGTACCAGCCCCAATTGCTCCACACCGTCAGCAGGTGCAAGCGGGGCCGGGGCCGTCAGCGCGTAAGAATGGCAGCGGCAGGAGCAGGGCTGCCAGCAGACAGGGGACCAGAGGCCATAGCAGGAGGGGACGGGCAGGGGCGCGGAGGGTGGGCCAAGACCCGCCCCTGTGCCCATCACAGCCTTGCGGCCCACAGTTCCTTTCAAGGTGCACAAATTCGTGCACTGGGCCCCTACTATGTATATAAGATCTTTAGTTAATCTCTTCCCACCCTCACACCACCCCCCTTCCCTCTGAGATTCATCAGTCTGTTCCATGTCTCCATGCTTGTGCATTGAGCATCTGCCCCCTGGTGGTCAGTGCATGTCATAGCTACTGGTCAAATGGTCAAACAATCACTTAGGCTTTTATATATATAGATAGATGTGTATACTACTATTGCTTGAAATATTAACTTCTTACCACAACATTAATAGCTAACATTTATAGTGTTACTAAATGCCACAGAACTTTCTATACATTATCTCATTTAATCTTCACAACTGAACTTTGTATACATTATCTTATTTAATCTTCATTTTAGTCTGGAAGACTGGGACAAGTTCTGTAATTTGCCCAGGATCACAGCTAGTAAGTGACAAACTTAGGATCTGAACCCAAGCTGCCAAACATCAGCCCTCACACTTTTAACCTATCTGCTCTTATATCTACCCACTTCAGAGTCAACTCTTATATACTTCTGGAATAATTCTCTCAAATTAAATAAAATAGTGAGCAAAATAAAACAAAAAATTCAACACAATAAAATGGCATTTTTCACAACTAAATATAATTTTTTGGTTCTACAGATCAGTAATTTTCAACTTTGGCTTTGCCACAATCCCATGAGGTAACCAATTAGTTGCATTTTCATTTTATATATATTGACTCAGTGGTTAGTATGCTTAAGGTATAATATTTATAAATCTAAATTATAATTTTATGACCTATAACCTTTTTGCTGAATAAAAGGCATGAGATCCTAAAGATTGCCAGAAAGATACATTTTAAAGGGAAAGAACATGTCAGTAACCTATCAGAAGGAGAAACACAATTTTCAAAGTAATTTTATATCTGCTTTCTGAAAGCAAATGAGTTATTTTATGTGACTATAAACATGTCTATCTCTAACTACACAATAGGGCAAAAAAAAATAGTAATGGAAAAGGCAAAATCACATTTACTAAAGAAAAGCTTCAAAAAATAGATTTTATAAAATACTAGAGGCCCAGTACACTAAATTCATGCACTGGTAGGGTCCCTAGTGGCTGCCAGCTGCCGCCAGGTGCTCCCTCCCTTCCCCTGGCCAGCCCCACCCCCTAGTTGAACTCCCGGAAGAACTCTCGGTCAAGGGGATAATTGTATGCTACGCTTTTATTATATAGGATGTGAAGACAAGAGATGTAGTAGTACTTTGGTTTAATATTCTAAACAACAAAAAATGAGACATGAATATGAACATGTTAAACAAACAAAAAAATGTGACCATTAAAAAAATGAGAAACTAGACAGAAGGCAAATTGGGGAAAAGGAAGCAAGCAAGAGATGAAAGCCCTAGATAATCTCGGCAATCCAGTTCAAAGCTCAGATCTTGTTGAAACAGCCCCTATAATAATACTCTGGTAGAAGAGAGTACTGTGGCCTCATTCTAGGAAAGAACTGAGACAACTTCCTGAGGATGTACTAGTGGGTGAAATAGATGACTAGTAATAGCAAGTCAGCTGAACCTTTCTAGGAAAGAACTGAGACAACTTCCTGAGGATGTACTAGTGGGTGAAATATCTATTCACAGGGGTCGCCTAAGACCATCGGAAAACACATATATAATTACATATTGTTTTTTGTGATTAATCACTATGCTTTAATTATGTTCAATTTGTAACAATGAAAATACATCCTGCATATCAGATATTTACATTATGATTCATAACAGTAGCAAAATTACAGTTATGAAGTAGCAACAAAAATAGTTTTATGGTTGGGGGTCACCACAACATGAGGAACTGTATTAAAGGGTCGCGGCATTAGGAAGGTTGAGAACCACTGCTGTAGACCAACATATGATGGCCTCTATCTCTCCACTAAAGTCTTTCTTCTAACCATTCTAGATGACAGGAATCTGACACTCCTTGTAGGTTACACTACTCAGTTCAGCACTTATTTGGATTCTGTTAAGTGTTTCATATGCATATATCTTCCCAACTAGATCATTAACTTCTGGAGAGCAGAAACTACCCCATTTATTTTAGTTTCACCCATATAACCCAGCACAGTGCTATGCTTGAATCTTGAAAAATCACAACATACAATTAGACCATTAAAGTTTGAGGAAATCTTAGACTTATGTAGTCTGGACTCTGTATCTTAAAAGCAAAGACACTAAAAGTAGTTAAATGTCCACTAGCCTCAAGTCAGAGCTGGGATTTGCACCCTAATCAGTTCATCCTTTCACAAATAGCCTCTAATTTCCTCCACTGTGATAAAATAATCACCCATTTAGTTAGAAAACAAAGTAACAGCACCAGTATGTCAAGACCTTTAGTAGATTTGATTGGCAGCCTATGTGCCTAGGTCTCTAAAGACTGCTTTATACACATTATTCTATTTTATACTCACAAGAACTCTAAGAGATAGGTATTATTAACCCAATTTTTAAAATGGGTTGAGCATCTCCCTATGAAACAGGAGGTCACCGCTGGATACCCGGTCAGGGCACATGTCCAGGTTTCCGGCTTGATCCCCAGTGGGGGGGGCGTGCAGGAGGCAGCCGATCAATGATTCTCTCTCATCATTGATATTTCTATCTCTCTCCCTCTCCCTTCCTCTCTAAAATCAATTAAAAAAAATTTTTTTTAAGGGAAAAAAATTCCTTGGCAACATTTTCAATCCATCATCTGAAAACTACTTTGTCTACTTCCTATTTTCAGGGCCTTGATATATTCTCCAATCCCAGAAAATGTTACCACGTTGGTTAAAAAACAAACAACAACAAAAACATAAAAAAGGTATAGTCTTACTGTTCAGTTCTATCTGTCGGAAACCCAGAGTAGCCTTTTCTATTGCGACTGACCCAGGTATATTCCTAAGGAACTGTCCCATCTCTTTTTGATTAAATAAAGTAATGAATACAAGCCTAGTTGAGTCTTCACATATGACATGGTTAAGTGCTTGTCTTTATTCACACCTTCCTAAATAACATGCTACCAATCAAAATCCAGAAATACAGAAATGCCTTCTACGGCAGAGTAGCCGGGTACAGACTTCTATGTTCACCCGACTACAATGCAAAGATGATCTTCATCCTTTAACCGCAAAAAAACTACAGGGGCTCTTCCGGAAGCTTCGCCGCTGCCCATCCACACATCACTGCGGGTCGTGAAAAACAAGAATGCATCAAGAACTGCTGCCAGGCCTGGACTAGCACTCGCTCGGCGACCCACTCAGAGGTAAGCAGGTGCAGAATGTGGCTGACCCTGGAGCGGGGGCACTGTTTACTTACAGGGGAGGACACTCGTGTGATGGGTAACGTGTTGCACTGTCCTCCCCTGGCTCCAAAACAAAAAAAAATAAAATAAAAAATGTAAAAATTGGTACCCCTGACGAGCTCCATTGGGGAGCGGTGGGGTCCCTTCCCCAAAAAGTTTGAACCTTCCCTTTTTTAATTTGGCTTTAAGAACAAAATGCTCCAAATAGGAACACCCCGATAACAAGGATGGCTGCCTTAATATGAGGGGCTGCTGTGCAGGATTAACGGTGGAAAGGACATTCACCTTTGGTCCCAAGAAACATGTTCCTTTCCTTCTA